ATTAATAAAATTTCTATGTTTCACCTGTGATTTACCTTCCATTGTTCTTTGAAAGTAGCCTGAACTCTAATTTTTGACTTTTGCACAGTACTGTATATAATTCTCTGAAACTCCAGAGCATTGGCTCATGAGATCGTTCTTGTTTTATTAGCGCAAATCTATATAATGGGCTATCTGCTCCTGTCTATCGCGGATAGTCGAACCCCTAAGTTTAGCACTGTAGGTTCGTAAAGTTATCGCTAATCCTCTGGTGGACTTCATACAGCAAAATACTTTTTGTCAATTGAGTGTTGTAAGTAACACCTTTCATGCTAGTCTTTTTGCACTTTTTTGTACCACTTTTGAAGTGTAGCATGAGGTATAATCACCTTTTCTGTACTACTTTTGAAGTATAGCATGAGGTATAATCACTTTTTATGTAGTACTTTTGAAGTATAGCACGAGGTATAATCACCTTTTCTGTACTACTTTTGAAGTATAGCACGAGGTATAATCACCTTTTCTGTACTACTTTTGAAGTATAGCACGAGGTATAATCACCTTTTCTGTACTACTTTTGAAGTGTAGTATGAGGTATAACCCCTTTTCCCCCACTACCAATAAGGTTGAACGACAAACTGACAGAAAATTTTTCACACGATGAAAGCTAAGATCACTGAATATCAAGAGAAAATTGATAATTAAAAACAACAGAAAAGTGAACACAGTGTTCAATCACTTTAATTCACAACTCATCCTTTCATACATTACACACACGTTTATAAACCAAATATTCACTCTTTGAAACACCCTTGCTTGCACCCATAGAACCAGGGTGTTAATCGTCCATGTCGATGTTTTTAAACACATGATTTATATCTACTTAAAATCAGAATAATAAATAAACTAGCTAACTTTTAAGTGTATTTAAATACATGATAATGCCAGGTTGACTACAACAAGCGCAGTCTTAGTTACTTATCTTAAAATGTTATTGACAGGGATAAAAAATACGGTGTAAATCTGAAATAATATGTTGCTTAATCCTTCCAAAACATAGAATTCAAAGCGAAGACTGAAGTAAGGACTGAAAAATATAAATTCACAGTTGCCATTTTTATTACCATTAATTGTTTAAGATAAGAAAAATGTTTCATAACCATCTTTAGTTATATATCAAAGGTAATTTAAACTCAAAGACAGTAAAACTTTATACACTATTTTGGTCCAATACTGTTTAAAGGAGGTCGTTTTTACTTTTTTACTTCAAAACTTAAAGCCGTATCCAAAAGCGATGAAGGTTCTTTTTAACAAGTTTATTTGAAATAATACATTATTTTTTTCCAGAAGTTTTTATCAAAATATTTCGTTAACGAAAATATTAAAGATATATTTTAAAATATGATGTTTAGGCAAACTTAGCTGTCTTGCTGTGAAACTGGATTTCAAAAGAACCAAATGCTATTGTAATACTGAAAAACCTTCTTTTTCAGAATTGAATGCTATAAACAAAATTCTGTAACAAAAACTCACGCGGGCCAACCCTCTCCGGTCGATACAGTAAAAAGGGTCAACATGGCCGACATCACGTCATCATAATGGAAGGGCTGCTTTTGCCATTCTCGTTTGTTTACTTCTGGTGGGCCACCATCTCCAGGAAATACAAAGAAGTATCCGCTGCAAAAGATACAAAAATTGGCATGTTTCGAGTTGTTTAAGACTATATATAATTATATAAACCAATATGTGTATCAAACTGTTTATCTTATAATCTGCTGATTAGATGGAGAGAATTTAACATGTTGTTCACACTGAAGTTTATTACTAATGATATTCACACAAAAAGGCTGGTATGAAATAAGAAAATAAGTTCCAATATACATAACTTTAAATAATATTCTTTACGGTTTGTTTGTTTGTTTTGAATTTCACGCAAAGCTACACTAGGGCTATCTGCGTTAGCCGTCCCTAATTTAGCAGTGTAAGACTAAAGGGAAGGCAGCTAGCCATCACCACCAACCGCCAACTCTTGGGCTACTTTTTTACCAACGAATAGTGGGATTGACCGTAACCTTATAACGCCCCCACGGAACGTGGATTCGAACCCGCGACTCTTGGATTGTGATTCGAGCGCCCTAACCACCTGGACATGCCGGGCCATTCTTTACGGTAATAAACTTTACGGCAAACATTATGTTTGTGTGTGTTTGTCTTTTAATTTCGCACAAAGCTACTCAAAGGCTATCTACACTAGCGGTACCTAACTTAGAAGTAATAGACTAAAAGGAAGATACCTAGTCAATACCACCCACCGCCAACTCTTGGGCTACTCTTTTACCAACAAAAAATGGGATTGACCATCACGTTATAAGGGCAAGCATGTTCGGTGATGGGATTCTAGCTCGCGACCCGCAGATTGCGAGTCGAGCGCCCTTACTACCAGGCCACAAACATTATGAAACAAACTGTAAGTTATGTTATTTTCGAATGCAAGAAGTGTGCTAAGTGAATTGATTTGCTCTCTACAAACCAGTTTTTTTTATCTGAATACTCTAACTACTTCCAAACATCTTGTCAATTGGATTTGACCTCCTGGCATGCTTTGCTTTAAGTGTTTACCAGAATGACGGAGATTCCAAAATGTTTCCAACATGAAGTAAATATATTTCACACTATTGTTGCTGTTTTTTAATTTCGCGCAAAGCTACACGAGAGCTATCTGCACTAGTCGTCCCAAATTTTGAAGTGATAGACTAGGGGGAAGACAACAACCACTAACTCTTGGGCTACCCTTTAACAGCGCATAATGGGATTAACTGTCACATTACAACGCCTCTACAGACTAAGATTGCGAGTCCTAACTCACCAACCCATGATACTTCATGGGAGTCTTTAACCAACGTAAAAACTTCTCTATCCCATACATCTTCTAGTATTTTATGATACATGCTTATTGCAAAGGCACGTAGTTGATTACTTCTAAAAATAACCTGTAGTATTGTGATAAAACTCACTTATAGAAGTTAGGTTTCAAATAACTCACTCGTATCTAATAATTTACAGAACACCGCATCAAGTTCGAGCTGAATATTTTTCTCGTTATTTCTTCCTAAACAGACAAGAAAGGGTTAATCTAATAAACTGATTTTTAAACATTTGCTTTTATACATGTCCCCCAGTGGCACAGCGATATGTCTGCAGACTTGCAATGCTAAAGTCCGGGTTTCGATACCCGTGGTGGGCAGAGCACAGATTGCCCATTATGTAGCTTTGTGCTTAATTACAAACATACAACAACGTACAAACGTACGCCTTTATACATAGAGAAAAAAAAAGGTCGAATTGTAAAACGTAACACCTAGCATGACATAACTACCTGTTGTCAAACTGATGTCTTTCGTCTACTCTCAAATTATTGACTTATTTTTTAAACCGTTCATTACCGGTAGAGATCCACTTTCTATATATTGCACCATGTTCAATCATTTTCTGTTTGCCTCCCTAGCGGCTCAGCCGTAAATCTGTCGGATTATGACGATAAAAACTAGGTTTCCATACCTGTGGTGGACAGAGCACAGATAGCCCGTTGTGGCTTTGTGCTAAACAACAACCAAACCATTTTCTGTTCTTATAATAAAGATTTATTGAAAGTTATGTTTTTTTTTTCTCTTGCCGTTATATTTTTAATAAACTGATCAGTGAAAGTTCGTTTCATAAAACCCAGATAAAGTATATGATTTATTATATTTTATTAAAAGGTTCAATAGCTAAGAAGCTGTCCATTACACTTACTTGCATTCTTCTCTCGTGAGCTTGGACTCGTCCGTGCAGTAGAAAAATTTGCCATTAAAAAGTTGAACTGCTAT